TCTCTCCTTCCCTTTTATAGACCGGGTAATATAGGTTCGGCCCACGAGGCATGAGCCCAACCTGTCAGCTTGTCAAAAATTATGGGCTCGGGTTAGCAATTAGCCCACACTACTTTGGGCCTTACTCTTATGGGCTAGTACGCCTTTTTTTTTTTAAGTGCAATTACCAATATATAAGACGTTGTTACATGATACGGCTAGAAGATTTTGACCCCTAATCTCCACATTGCCTGTTCATATCATTATATATGTAATTAAACACTTTATATGTATACACATATATATGTGTAGTTATACAAATGGCATCATCCATCTTTTATTTTTCATGTATTTGTAGTATGCATGCCTTTATGAAATTAAATAAACATGTGATACTTAATATATATATAACATCTACTTAATTAATTTAGATGGATTAAAAAATAATTAAATTAATTATTTATAAAAAAAATACGTGTTAGTTTTTCTAGAATCCCCTTTTAAATTATAAATTAATCATCAGATTGTCCTATCACAACCCATTATCCGAGCTCAAAACTTCAAGTCCAACTTCAACATTTTAAACTTTAAAACCCAACACATACCAATAATAGTAGTTTTTTTATTTTAAAAAATATGGGCAAGCGTGCTAGCTTGTCAAGTTGTAGGTTACTTCAGCACATACTGTCATGAGTTGGTCTGTATCTAGATCTTGCTTTGCAAGCTCTATCTTTTTTTACGAGAAACAATTAACTGAATGTTGATAAAAATACTAGTTAAACCAAGCTAAAAACAATAAATATATATAATATTTTTTCTCAAAAATACTCATTCTTATGGGGGAGAATATAAAGGAAAGAATAAAAAAATAATTCAAATAAAGAGGACTGTGAAGGAGAAAAAAATGCCTTGAGCCCCAAGTAATAATAAATATACTGATATTAAAATGAATAATTAAATGAGGGCAAAATAAAAAATTAATAAAAAAAATTTAAAATACTCTAAATGTTTCTTATAAATAGGAAAAAAAACATAGGTAAGTTTCTTATAAAAAGAATTAGTCTATTTTGCCCCCAAAAAATTTATTTTATTAATAATTACACACACTAATAACCAAGACTAAAACACAAAACACTAAAAAAAAAACACCTAAAAACAACCTGATACACCTTAACTAAAAAAAAAAAAAAGAACTTTCCTAAAACAAAGAAACAAAACAAGCTCTAAATTCATCAACTTATTAATCAACACCTTCCCTATTTAAATGATTCAGGTGACTAACAAGCGAGTCTATATCTACTAAGGCTCGTTTATTTTCAATCATAATTTACGAAATATAAAATAAGTATGTGAGATGAGTTTCGTGTCAATTTATATAAATTGTTCTTATGAGTGCTTATATAAGTGATCCCAAACAAATGTTAAGTCTTCACTCATACATGTTTGTGCATGTGCCGAGTCTTCCGTCCTCCTGCCAACTGAGTGAGCTACAACAAAATCTGCAGCATTGTCATCTTGGCGTGCCGCCAAGGAGAACTCTACACATGGCCTTCCCTCAATTAGTTGAAAAGTATAAGACATAACAGGCACAATTAGAATTTATTTTCACAGTTCCTGCATCGCCAGGAGCCCATCCAATATTAGTTTTCTTCTTATCCTTTTTAGGAAAGTTTGGTTTGTCCAAAAAAAACACTTTAAAAAGTGTTTTTATATAAGTTCAAATAAAACTTTTCTTACGTGTTTACTACATATACTATAAAATCACTCGTAAAAAGTTAATCCAATCACCTTTTTTGTTTTCCTTATAGGCTCATCATTATTTTTAAAAGCATTTTTTGTAACTTGAGATAAAACTCTTCTCACATATTTACTTTATATACCGTAAAATTACTTTTAAAACTATGGTTTATTTTCTAATCAAACACCTTTTTAACATTATTAGTGGTTTTTGGGAAGTTAGTCCTAGGGGTGAAAACAGATCAAGTCATGATAGGTTTTGTTCTCAACAGAGTATGCCTATTTAATAATAATCTGGCTTAAGTCTGGCTTGTGTCCTGTTATAAGCTTCTTCTTTTTTCCAGCTTGAGCTTGACCTATATAAAGGCTTGGCCTAGCCTGAGTTTATTAAAAAAGCCCGTAATTTTAAACTTTTCAAAATACGTAATAAAAAATATATAAGCTAATAAAAAAAGTAAAATATACATACTGCATAATAATTATTTTTTATTATTATCTTTTATTTAAGTTTTAATGTCATAAGTAATATTTTAAATTGTAATTACGATTAATATTATTGAAAACAAGTTATAATTATATATTAAAATTTAAAATAAGACTATATATAAGTACAAAATTAAAATTAAAATTAAAGTAAATAAACTGGTCAGGTCAAACCTGACAAACTTAACAGATTTTCCAAAAAACCCTAGACGTGATTTATTAGGCTAAATAGACCATTAAAAAAATCTAAACATTTTTTTATTTTAAAATGAGTCAGGTTAGATAGGTAGGTCTTCCCTTGGCCTGTTTCCACTCGTCCTCTGATTTCCCATGCCAAGGGCCACCTTGAAAGGTGAAAGTTCGAACTATTTTAATGTTGTAAAAGAACAAAATCTATGAGTGATCTATTCATGGGTGCATGAATGAGGGAGGGACCATGACACGCCAAAAGGGTATAGCGTACGTGTGTCCACTCACGGCCGGTGAATGCCTTTGAGTCACAACAATTATTGAACTCTTTCCAAAGATAAAGACATTTTCAAAAGCCTTAACTTTCTGTTCCCAAGTGGAAAGAAAAAAGACCCCAACTTTTACCCGCCAAGTCACTCCTGACTCACAAGGATAAGATATCCTTTTTTTTAAAATAAAAAAAAATTGGAAGTGTTCAAGTGACTCACATTAATAAAAATATTATTCAAATTGATTAAAGAAAAAATTTCAGAAAAAGAACCTTAAAGTTAATATTCTTCAATTCAATCACCTAACAATTCAAAATAACGCAGAAAGAAGTAAACCCAAATTCAAGAAAAATGATAGAAATATTCCTTTGTTAATCCCATTAAAAAAAAATGTATTGTTATTTATAATTTCATAATTAGAACTTATTATTCTCAGATAAATTATTGTCATTTTTAATTGATTGACATGTTATATATAAGGAAAGAAAGTGTTGTTAATCCCAAATTGAGACTTATTATTCTAAATAAATTGTTATTCACAAAGAGACATTTTTGTCTTTTTTTTTTAATTTTAAAATTTCAATTTGGACTTACTATCTTCTCTGTCATTTTGAGATGTTAGGTGCTTAAATAGAAAATTACTAATTTTGAGGTTCTTTTTCTTCAATTTTTTCTTGATTAAATATAGTAATAAATAAGTTAAAAATATAAACCATATTTAAAAATACCCCCATCTGCTCATGTAATAATGGTCCGGGGTATAGTAATAACAGATGCTAAATAAATATTTTAGACAGATTTTTGGAATTTCTTAATGTTATAAAAAGCAGGGAGCATTTTGAAAGGCTACCAATGTTAAGCTGCTTCGCGTCTACTATCTTCTACCGCACACAGCCTCATCTCTGATCTCTTCATGTCAATCTCACACGAGCTGGTCAAATTCAATGGTCAAGATCTTTTGAGTCACGCAGATTCAGTGAACCTTCACGTACGTGAACAAAAGGCTGATGGATTTTCTTGCGTAGGTGGTCCCCACATTCGCCGTCGTTGTCACCACTAAAAATCCGTTGCTTCACAGTTCAATGATTCTTTTATTTCATTTTTTTGGCCAAAGTTCAATGACTCTCTCTAAAGCCGCATTTCTGCATGCAACAATTATTATCTGCTTGGCAATTACAGATAGCTTATAAAACTAGACATATTCACATCTTTTCACTTTTATTTAAATTTTTAAATAAAATTTAAATTTTAGATTTTAAATATTTTAAACTGAGCAGTAGCATCGGATGTTTTAAGCACTACAGATTTGCTAATTTTTTTGAGTTAATATCATTATTACTTTTTATAATTTAATCACTACTAAAAACAAGGCTTTAATAGTGTTTATCTGCATGTTCCTTTTTTTTTTTTTTTGAGCTAAGAAATAGCTAGATAGTTCAATGAGTCTATATATTGTTTATAAATTTAATTAAAAGCAATGAATATTTAAAATATATACATATTTTTTTAATTATGTACTTATTTGTAAAGAGAGTACGTAATAGATAACGAGTAAAAGTTTATTACAGAGATATAATAGGTGACATATGTTTAATAGGAGTAAAAGTAAAAAAAATATGTTTAAAATTTCAGACAAAAGTGATTTCTTTTTATATTTAAAGAGAGAGGTTGTTTAACCCCGCGGGGTTAGGTCGACTGGCTGGGATCGTCCTAGCTTAACCACGGATTTCGGGTTCGAGACGTGGAACGCAGCACTCCAAGAGGCCAGAGGGCGCCGTCTGTGCTGAAAGACGCCTATTTTCCTGGATACCGGATGGAGTAATCCAAAAAAAGAGAGAGGTTGTTTCTTACAGAGACGAGATAGTGATTTGATATATTGATTGATAAATATTTGTAAAATTAAAATTTTTAGATTTATTTTTAAAATGTAAAAATTTCATATAACTATTTTTGAATTAAAATTCTAAATTAAAATCTTTCTCATGATTTTTATTTTTTGGAGGATTTTGAGAGACTGAAATCTGGTACTTATTAATGAATATTCCTTTAATCATATTTATTTATGCAAGTTTATTTAAAAAATAAAGTAAAATATTGTTTTATTTTATTTATAATTCAGAGAATCCTAAGACTAATCTCTGTTAGATTGAATGAGACTTTTTACTATCTTAACCAAGATATTGTTTGTATTGTTTTTTAATATTTGACGCAAAAATATACACACAACACTGAATATTTCTATTTACTACACTCAACCCAGGGTCTCATACAGAGACAAAGATGTGTGCATTATACTTTGTATTTTTAGCAACAATAGAGAATATGACAGACAAGTTGATAACATGCGGCTGGCAAAGCGGGTTTTCGGGAGTGGGCTAAGATTGCAAATTGAAATAATTTCAGTGAAGGATTCGATGAATTAGATTATTTCAGTACAGTTCCCCAAACATTGGATTGGATTCATCGGACCCTGCATTTGCTATAAATACCCATTCTTCTTCTTCGTTGGAATCACAGTCCTATCTAGCTTTTGGGGCTGTGATTCCTGCATTTGCTATAATTATCCAAATCTCGTTGCTTGGAATTACAGTCCAAGGCTAGCTCTGCTGGGACTGCGATTTTATTTTTTCCTTTTGTTCTGAACGTAGATTAGATTTTCAGTCCCTTGTCCTCCTTCTCCATAAGAGGGTGCTTCAATTTTTTTGATTTTGTTTGTTGGAGAAGATGACTGTGGGAGCTGGGATTTCTGTGGCCGATGCCAACTTGATGGTGTTGGGGAAGAAGGTCCTCTCTCAGGTTCCCCCAAATGTTGTCGTCACTCCCTCCTCTTCAATCCTCAATGGGGCTTTCATTGGAGTCGATTCTGATCGCAAGGGCAGCCGAAGAGTGTTCCCCGTTGGAAAACTACAGTACGTTCTTTCTTCCTTTCTTTCTGAACTTTTGTTTCTTCTTGGTCATGGCTGAAATGAATGCAAATCAAAGCCTGATGCTATATCATGCACTTATATATCTAAATTGAACTGTTATTGGATAGTGTCTTGGTTGTATGTGTATCTATGATTCTTGGGTAGCATGCATGCAATTTAATGCTTGATAGTTTCTTCATCACTGCGTTTAAAACTGATTGAAAATTTTCCCTGTTGGTTATTTTGTTTATTATATGTGTCATGAAGGTTAAGTATGAAGTTTCAGTTTTCATCAAATCCAGCTGACTGTATAATGGATATGCTCTGATGATTTTTGTTTTTAGGGGGTTGCGCTTTATGTGTGTATTCCGCTTCAAAATGTGGTGGATGACACAGCGAATTGGTAACTGTGGGCAAGATATTCCTTTTGAAACACAGTTCTTACTTGTGGAAGCGCACAAGAGTTCTGATCTTGATGGGATCAGAAACGGAGAAGAAGACACTTATGCTGTTTTCTTGCCTCTTCTGGAAGGAGATTTCAGAGCTGTTCTTCAAGGAAATGAGCAAGACGAGATAGAGATCTGTGTGGAAAGTGGTATGATGAGATAAATGGAATTTCACTTTGTCCTATATCATGTTAAATTTTGCTGTTCTGGGGAGTAATTGAATTTGGTATATTTGTCTGATTGGATGTAGGATGTCCTGATGTTGAGGAATTTGATGGGACTCATCTGGTATTCGTTGGAGCAGGATCAGACCCTTTTGAAGTCATTACAAATGCGGTCAAGTAAGTTAGAAACGTCTTTTTCTTGGCTATCACAAACTTAGAATCTTTGCTGAGTTCTCTTCCTTCCTTGTTCCTAGTTGAAAGTTTTTGCTGGGATAGGAGTCAACATTTAGGTCTCTTTGGTATGAATGGGATCAAATAGAAGATAATTAGTGAGTCAACATTTAGGTCTGTTCCTATTTGAAAGTTGATCTACTTTTTTTCTTTTTTTTCACTAGACTTAATCTATTCTGGGTTCTCATGTTGTACATTCTAGTTTGAAGTTTTAAGCACGTGATGGTTTGAGGGTCCTTTTTTTATAAAAAAAAAATCCGTTATTTTCTCTTTTGAGTCGTAAAGATGGGAGTTAGGCAGTGTTTCTCATACTTGTTTAAATTACTTCAATCATTAATTTCGTTTTTGTTTGCAACTCAGGGCTGTTGAGAATCACTTGAAAACATTCTCTCACCGTGAGAGGAAGAAGGTACAAATCTCTTTCCTGAAAATGATAACTTCATGGACTTCTATTTTCTGGGTGTTCCAAGGTTGTAATGCTCATTTCCATGCATTATCTTTTCCTTTTGTGTCCAGATGCCAGATATCTTGAATTGGTTTGGTTGGTGTACATGGGACGCTTTCTATACCAAAGTTGATTCAGAAGGAGTAAAGCAAGGATTGCAAAGGTTCTATTTCTTCCCATTTAGGATAATTATCAAAATATCAAAATTTATCACTTTTAAAGTAAATTATCATTCTTGTCCTTGAATTATGAGGGCTATTTTTGTTCAATCTTTGAAATCGGTGATTGCATGAGTTAGTCTCCAAAAATCAAAAACTTGTTCAACATATTAAAGGACTGGTATGCAATGGATTCTATATTTTAATCCTAACTCTTTGACTCAATTATTTTCAGATTTAAAGTTAATGCACCCAAAAGTTCATAACCCGATTTTTATTGTACTCTGTTATGAACATTGCATAAAGACCATGATTTCTAACCATTACGCATCTTTTTGTTCATTTTGCAGCTTAGAGAAAGGTGGGGTTCCTGCTAAGTTTGTTATAATTGATGATGGATGGCAATCTGTTGGTATGGACCCTAACGCCAGTGAATGGAAATCTGATTTTTCTGCCAAGTGAGTACTTCTATCTTTTAACCCCACATTTGATCTTCATAGATCGACAATATTGAATAAGTATTTACTTATTTGTCTTTCTCTCCTTCAGTTTTGCAAATCGCCTAACACATATCAGAGAGAATCACAAGTTTCAGAAGGGTGGCAAAGACGGTTATAGAGAAGAGGATCCTACTCTGGGTTTTCGTCATATCTCCAAAGACATTAAAGAGCAGCATGACATTAAGTACGATATTATTTTGCAGACAAGCTATGTCTTGGTCCTTTACAGACTATGCATTATTAATTGAATACGCTATTGGTTGATGTATTACCTTAGAACACGAGTATGATTTTGTTCCTTGTCACCCTTATGTACTAAAATGATACAAAATCATATTATTGGATTCTCTTAAACAAAATACACTTGCTGTTCTGTATTATATTCAATTCAAATATTGACATGAATCAATACAATATACTCATGGTCTTTGTATTTTTTTAGGTACATTTATGTGTGGCATGCTATAACAGGATACTGGGGTGGTGTTAAACCTGGGGTTACTGGAATGGAGCACTATGAGTCAAAAATGGCCTACCCTGTATCATCTCCTGGGGTTGAATCTAATCAACCTGATGAAGCTCTAACAACCATTACCATGAATGGGCTTGGCCTTGTGAATCCTGAGAAAGTTTTTCACTTTTATAATGAGCTCCACTCATATCTTGCATCTGCCGGTATTGATGGTGTCAAAGTTGATGTTCAGAATATCCTTGAAACCCTTGGGGCAGGCCATGGTGGTAGGGTCAAACTTGCAAGAAAATACCACCAGGCTTTAGAGGCATCCATCACGAGGAACTTCCCTGATAATGGCATTATTTGTTGCATGAGTCACAATACTGATGGATTGTACAGGTAGGAATACATAAAATTAAATCATGTCTTATACCCTTGTATTAGACACAATACAACACTTTAAAGTACCACACAACATTTTATGTTGTTATTGTATTTTGTTATGTCCTCTGTGCCTGTGTCTATGCTTCTTGGCTCTGATGTTATATGAATGGTTAATTCATGTAAATTTGAAAATTTGCTTTGGTGCAGTGGAAAGCGATCAGCAGTAGTTAGGGCATCAGATGATTTTTGGCCAAGAGATCCGGCATCCCACACAATTCACATTGCATCAGTTGCTTACAACACCGTCTTCCTCGGTGAATTTATGCAGCCAGATTGGGATATGTTTCATGTAAGTTGACCATTGCTTTTGCTTTTTGTTTCTTGTTTTTTGCCTTTTGCTGATGAAGTTAGTTTCTTTTGGAGCTAATTAAATTTGAATTTTAACGCATGATAGAGCCTACATCCAATGGCTGAATATCATGGAGCAGCACGAGCAATAGGAGGATGTCCTATTTATGTCAGGTAGTTCATCGTTAATGCTATATTTTGACCTTATTACAGAAAATGTCCCAAGGGACCTAAAGTTTTCAAGAAAAATAATTATATTAGTATATGTACATAAAAGATAATTTTCACTGAGAAAGTATCCTTGAATGAATATGTGTGTATTCATGATTGACTTGGTCTGCTTATCTTAGTAATGGATATTTGTACTTTGTGCAGTGACAAACCTGGACACCACGACTTCAATCTTCTAAGAAAACTTGCACTGCCTGATGGTTCTATATTGAGGGCTAAACTCCCAGGAAGACCAACAAAAGATTGTTTATTTTCTGATCCTGCTAGAGATGGAAAGAGGTAAAGGATCCATATGACACTGAAGCTTCTTCCTTCTTTCTTCCTGCATTTTTTTTTTTTCAAAAATCTTTTTTTGAATCTTTTACCATAACTGATGGAGGGTGCTTTTGTAGCCTTCTGAAGATATGGAACCTGAATGATTTCTCTGGAGTGGTTGGGGTGTTCAATTGTCAAGGAGCGGGATGGTGCAAAGTTGGAAAGAAAAACCTTATCCATGATGAGAGTCCGGAAACAATCACTGGCGTCATTAGGGCTAAGGATGTTGGCTATCTATCTAAGGTTGCTGATGAGAAATGGAATGGGGACACCGTTATATTTTCCCATGTTGGTGGTATGTTCCTAAGCTTGACAAAGCGTCTATGCATATTCATGAGCTGGACCTGGATCTTGAATTGTCTTGCTAACCCTAAATTGACTTCAAGATTAGTAGTTGAGGTTGAACTTGAACACTTATTGGTTCAAATGATGTGCTGGGGCCTATACTCTCTTATTTGGGTCAAGCATAACTGGCCCAGCTCTCAAATAAGTATTACTTTTTATAAGGTTTTACCGCTAGAAGTCGGTTAAAAGAGACACTTTATCTTTTTATCAGCTAAACAAACACCTTTGGATACGCTATAGGGCTAGGCTAGTCAAGTATACCTATTGACTGGCCTAGCTCTCAAATAAGTAATAATACTATTAATAAAGTTTACTGCTAAAGTTGGTAAAAAGAGAGACTCTATTTTTTTTTTTAAGTAAAAGAGAATGAATTACTGAGATATGTACAAAGAGTTCAGGTTAACCATACAAGCAATCAGTTAGAGCTAGTAACAGCGTCTAAAAGCCTCCTTGCATTAGAGGTGTGAGTAACAGAGAGACTCTCTTTTTTATCAATTAAACAAACACCGTTTGATACACTGTAGGCCAGTCAGGTATGTCTATTGACCGGCCTAGCTCTCAAATAAGCGTAATACTACTGTTTAGATACCCTGTAGTCCCTATGTCTCTTTGATGCTTATTGAAGTTTCCTTATTTTAATTTATGATGCCAATTTGCATTTGCAGGAGAGGTTACTTACCTTCCAAAGGATGCATCTGTTCCTATTACATTGAAATCCAAAGAATTTGAAGTCTTCACAGTAGTTCCTGTTAATGAAGTTAATGATGGTATCAAATTTGCTCCTATTGGTTTGATGAAGATGTTCAATTCTGGAGGAGCCATCAAGGAATTCAATTGTATATCTAATGGAACTACAAGTGTTATCATGAAAGCACGAGGCTGTGGTTTATTTGGAGCTTATTCATCGGCTCTACCTAAGACTGTGACAGTGGATTCAGAGGAGGTTGAGTTCAGATATGAGGAAGCATCCGGGCTGGTAACTATTGATTTGAGAGTCCCAGAGAAAGAGTTGTACCAGTGGAACATATCTATCAACTACTGATGACTGATATGTGAATCTCATATTTTTTGGGGACCACACCAGTTTGGATGTTAGCATCATCACGTCTGACAGAAACATAATTTAGACCAAAAAAAAAAAATTGAAGAGTGTGTCATGAGTCCCCCAGATTAGGAAACAGAAGGCTTTTCTAATTTCCTGTGATATATCTGCTCATCTGCAGATAACCAAGAAAGAAAACTACGGAGGTTAGGAAGCTTTCTAGCTTTCTTTTTTGGGTAATATATTTATGTATTGGAGGAAGGCTTAGAAAGGGCTATATTTGAATGGCTCTTGGAGTTGAAACCTCCTGGAGGAAGAGTGTAATCCTATATCTGCAATAATGCCCACTCCGGGCAATTCCAAATATAAAAGCTTGATCTATAAAAACAAGTAGCTGTAGAACATGAAGGCCAATTTATGGCACGTCTTGAAATAGTTATAGTCAAACTTATTTTGACTCTAAATGTATCATACTTATTTGAAATATTTTGACCAGGTCAAGTTATAGTTAAAATATTTTGAAATAGTTACTATAAAATGGGTATTATATTTAGGATCAGAGGAGTATTACACTTTTATATGCAATTCATTGGTACTTCACTCTTGCATGTCAAGTAATACATCAAGTTGATAGATTTTTTCACATTGGCTTTTATTAAAGAAAATGTAATGAAAAAAATATGTTGCATATTTTCTCTTATTTAATTTGTAGTATTCAATAAGGATAAAATTGGAAAAAAGGTCATTAATTATCTCAAGTAATTTATATTTAAAACCAAATATTTTCCCTGCAAGTGACTTATATATAGAATCAAAGTAGTATAATAATTTATATATTTTATGATTTAAGCATACTTAGCATTGTAAATTTATTGAGTCAGCAGTTTCCACTAAATAAAACTAATGGTATTAAGATTAATAGACAAAAATACACTTTATAAATTTAAAGGGCTAAACTGAAAAATAACGTAATCTTAAAGGATCAAACATATATTTTAATAAAAAAAATTATTTTTACTCTAAATGTGAAACCATGATTTTCTCTGTCTCCCTTATAATAATTTCTTCCCAAATCAACCTCAGTGATTTCACAATTTTTCTCATACTTTTAATCTCCTGCATTTAACACTTCACAAATGCCTGTGACCATTTTTGGAAATCTCCCTGGAAATTAACTTGAAAATGCCTCTGCGAGCTGTACGCTTTTTTCCGAGGTAGAGATAACATACCGACCATTCAGCTTCTTCGGTGTTGTAGCTTACGGCTATAACTGTATTAACAGAGCATTTCTTGGATTCTTCGCTAACTGCCCAAGCCATCCATATCCGGTAAGAGGGACGGTTCGGTTGGTGGAAGTTAAAGGACCTTGGCAAGTAAGCTCAGGGCAGTGGACCCCAAGTATTGACTGTAGCTACAGCCAGTAATACGGGGACTCGACCCGTAAGGTTAGGTTGGGTTTTAAAAAAAGACAAAAAATCATTTTCATGCGATCTTTTTTTTGGCTCGTAACTGCAACCCTTTTTTATTTTATTTATTATTTTGATAAGAAATTTTTTTATTATTTTTACTTAATTTACTTATAACTTTATATTTTATTAGAAACTTTGATTCTAAATTTAATTTCTCATTTTCTCTATTGTTTTACTATTTTTATACTAAAAAAATAATTATTAACAATGAATTATATGTTTATATTTCAAATTTTGAAATTAATTTAATCATCTAATTATATAAAAATATAAGAATAAGAAAAATTTGGTTTATAGGAATTTATAATTTAATTTTAAAAATCTTAAATATATGTGAAAAAATCTTTTAAAAAAAGATGAAGATTGGCAGGCTAACCGACTAACCCGCCAATCCACCTCTTGGCAGAGTGGGCTGGCAAAATGTAAGCCTATTAGGAGGCAATCTTCTTAGGACTAACCCACATGGTCTTGAACCCGTGATGAGCTGGCCTATTTCACCACCTCTAACTCTAGTAGGAGAGATTTTAGACCCTTAAATACAAGGTAGATCCAATATAGGTGATGCATAAAACATCTTTAAGAGAATTACTTCTAATTAAGCCCAACAATGTTTAAATTTAACTCAATTTGATAGCCATATTTTTTTAAAAAATCCTTTTCTATTTTCTTAAAAGAAAAATTAGACAAAATCCATCCATTAAAAAATTATTAGTGAGAAGAACTTAAATCAAAATTCCGGTCTTTTGTGTTTACAAAATGTGCATGATATCAATACCTTTTGTGCGTGAAAATCTACCATATCGTCCTCACCAATAAAATTTTCAAGGAATTCCCTTTTTTTTTCTGTTTTTAAATCACTTCTTACTTACATAACAAACAAAATGATGCACAAATGAATTTGTGATGTGTCTTCAAAATTCAAATAATCATTTTTAATTAAAAAATGAAAGAGAGCCACGTAGGACTATTAAGTTGTTGTGGATCTCTGCATATTGTTAATAAATGGGAAAATTAGTTAAAAATCCTTCTTTTACAAATTAATTTGGGAATGAGACTTGTAATAAATGTAAAGGTATGGGCTCCTCAAATGTTAATAAGAGTGATGGGAAAAAGATTACATTTCTCTAACGGGTGCTAATTGTATATGACGGATCCTTACTTACATATTATGAATTCTCACTTGCATATGATATATGCTTATTTGTTTATAACAGATACTCACTTTTATATGATAGATGCCTACTTACATATAAGTTTATTGTATCATACGGATACTAATTGCATATAATGGATGCTCACTTTTATATGATAGATCCCTACTTGTATATGGCTTCTAATTGCAAGTTAATGCTTAATATGAATGATAATTGCATATGATGGATTTTCACTCACAAGTGACATGATAGATGTTTACTTGCATATAAGTTCTTTATGTTATTGCATATGGGACCCATAATATGCAAGTATTTTTCACATTATGCAAATCACCTCCCTTAACATACAAATACCTTCCCATAATGTACAAATCACTTTCCCGAATGTGCAAATTCCATAATATTAATTTGCAAATAAGAATTTGTTTGTGAGCAATGTACAAAGGAATTTATTTATATAAATAGTAATGTAAATGCATGCAAGTTTAGATTAATAATATGCAATTAGAATATGTAATATGTAATAAAGTCTCATATACAACTTGGCATTACCAATATACGATTAGTATCAGCAATATGCAAATTTGGATCAATAATATGCAATTAAGATCTGTGATATGTGATAAGATTATATATACAACTAGATATCTGTAATATGCAATTAAAATCAACCATATGCAACTTTAGATCAGCAATGTGTAATTATGATTTGTGATATATATGCTAATAGGTATCACCAACAATTAGAATCAATAATATGCAAGTTTAGATCAATGATATATAATTAAAATCCTTAATATTCAATTAGTAGAATCAGTTATATACAATTTTAGATCGATAATATACAATTAGAATAATTTGGGTTTCTCCCACTATAATTAATTACAGTCAAGGACCTAAAAGTCTTAGGTATGATTGCTTAATTAATTTTTCAAACAGGGGTTTATCTCCAATTGTATCTTAACAAATTGTTCGGTGATTTTGTAATATGACTGAAAAAATGTTAGGTGATTCGATGCAGTTGAGAGGGTCATGTGAAAGAGCCAAAAATAGTCAAAGAGCCATGTCATATTACTCCCAAGTCTACACCCATCTTATCGAAAACAACAAAAGTAGATTTTAGAATATATATATATATATATATATAGATATATATATTATACATGGAATTGAAAGGATTATTTGGTTGCAAATTTTGTTGTTCTCTTCTGGGGTGATTATTTTTCTATCACACAATAAATTCATCAAATAAATTCCTCATAGAACTAGCTTTGGCCCCACAACAACAAACCAGTGGAAAAGGATATTTCACACAACGTCACAAGCCACATGTGGCCGTGCTGCGACCTATACTCATTTTCTTTTCTTCGTTTCCCTCCCTTTCTTTCTTTCTTTTTGGCCTAACGGTCAGACTTTGAGCCAACAGGTGACATATATGTTGACCGGTAGGATTAATTTATAATCAACATTAAAAATTTATCCCACTTTCTGAGGATTGAGACACCAGGTTTCGGAGGCGGAGGCAGAGGCAGCCCCACAATCAGAAATTACCCCCACTCTTCTTCTTCTTCTTCTTAATATTTCCAGAAACTCTGTTTCACTTAATGGGTACAGAGAGAAATCAAATGAGTGACAAGATGATTGAAAGTACGCCATTGATCACTCATTCTTCGGATTCGGGACACAACAACTTTGACAGAACAGGTATGATCTGTTTTTCTGCTGCTATGCTCTGTTTCAACAACTCTTTTATTATGCTCTGTTCTTCTTCTGAATTGCTCTGTGAAAAAGATGAACTGGGCTTCTCTCGTTTCCTCTTAAGGGAGAAGAGGGAAGGATTAATTGAATCGTGTGATTCTGAAACAATCCACAAATGAAGTTTGCTGACTGGTGGCGTGTGTGTGAAGGGAATGTATGGAGTGCGGCGGCGCATATAATAACAGGGGTGATAGGGGCGGGGGTTCTGTCGCTGGCGTGGGCGACGGCGCAGCTAGGGTGGATCGCAGGTCCATTGTGCATCATACTGTTTGCGATCACGACCCTTGTTTCTGTGTACCTCCTCTGTGACTGCTATAGATTCCCTCATCCTGAGACCGGAGAACTTCGGAACCGCTCCTTCACTGATGCTGTCAAGCTTTACCTGGGTACGTCCTATCCATATCTCACAGTGTCTGAAATTTGAGGTATTTTTACAACTTTTATCTTAATTAATCAATGCTTAATGTACAAATTTAAGGCATTCAAAAGTTTTTTTTAAGTATGAATTTGTCCTGCAAATTTTTTACTGCCAATTTTAGTTTTTTAATAATGAGGCAAAATTGTTACATTTTTAAATTTTTGGGATAAATTTACATTTAAAAAAATTTTTGAGTACTCATCAAAAAAAAAAAAAAAATTTTTTGAGTGCCCAACACTTTTGACTGAATATGCACCTTAACCCAATTGATTAATTATATGTCTTTTTTATATATATTTTTTATATCAATTCTCTCTCATACTCGCTTTCTTATAAATAAGAATATATTTAAAAAATATAATTTTTACATATTTATTGCTTTTAACTTATTTATTAATTTATGTAATCTTGTTATTTGTATCTTATGAAAAAAAAAGAGAGGAAATACTAAGGTATTTTGGTTTTTATTTTATGTAATATCAACATTAGTGACGATGCTAATTAATCCTCCTTCTCAACATTCTTTATCCAAAACATTAAGTTTTTTTTTTCAAGTACTTTACTTCAATATTCGTTAACCAAGTAAATGCCATCTTGTTGTAAATAAATCTAATTGAAAGTAATTTTGAAAAACCAGAGTGTGTCATCCAACTTAAACTCATCTTAAAATGATTGTAGTGTGTATACTTTAGTGACTGGTGGTATGTTTATATGGTATTTTTAACATTTTTATTGAAATTAAGAAAAAAATTTTAAATTTCATTAACCCAGTGTTAAAATTTAATAAATTTTTAGCATTATCCTTGTTTAAAAAATATCATTTTACACAAGTAACTTATAAGTAAAATCATACATTTTTCAGTCCAAAAAAAGGCAAAATCATACATTCATTTAATAAATAAAAATATTTTCTTTCTGTTTTATAAATAGAATGAGAGGAGTAGTTTATATTTTAAAAGTCACCAGCTCTTTCTTAAGCACCAAGATCATATTCCGTACTTTTTAACCACAAGACAATTAGACGCCCCGCGGGTTATGCTAAAGTTGATGAAGGTTCACTCCAATATCACATGGTACTGAGGTGGGCAAAAAATTGGGCTACTGGGTAGGACAATAGGCCCCCACGATGGCTTCTTTGGTCCAGTCCAATTATTTTAAAATATTTTTCATATGATATTTAATTTTAGTTAACTAATTTGAGTAGATTGAAAAAGTTTGTTAAGTTAGTTATTTGTAATAAATAGATGATGCATAAGATATCCTTACTAATCAAGCGTATTAGCTTTAACATTTAATAAAACTTTTAACATATACAATTACTAAAAAGACTACCTTAAAAAAATAAATAAATATAAAAGAAGAAGTGAATTTTGGTCTTATACTTAAGAACAAATTAAATTAAACAAATTCTTATAGTAGTATTAAGAATCAGAGGTAGTAGTACTTCATAATTTATCCAAAAATCTAGCTCTACCATATTGTAACCCTGAAATGGGGTTTGGTCAAGTCGGGCCAAGCAATGGACTAGACCAATAACCATATATCAAAGAAAATGGGTGAAAGTACATCTTTCAACTTTTGATTTTATATATGATTTTAATTTGATCCTTTAAAAAAATTATAGAGCATGTTTTCAATCATCTAACTCAAATAATATTAGTCTTAAATTATTTGTTCATACCAATCATTATTATTTATAAAAATAAAATTTAATATGTCAACATTTAATGTTAGTATTTTTTGTTAGCAATGTAAAAATTAGAGAATTAAAAAGATAATATTTGTGTTTCTTAACATAAGAATTAGACAAGACGTTCACTTTGGTTCTAAATATAATATATTAATTCATTTTGTCTACTAAATATGTAATTTTCTACCTAAAATATCTCCATTGATCATATATATTAAGAGGTTTTATTAAGGAATAATTTCATTGAATAAGATTATCAATAATTTAGAAAATTTAACACTAATTTATTATAAATAGTTATTTAATATCTTCTTATATTAAGAATCATAGGCAGTACTTTATAAAATTAAAAGACCCGATAAAACTTAGTATAAAATTAAAGCACTAGAGATGTCATTCTGTCAAAAAAAATCTTTTTTTTTTCTCTAAATCATATATACGTGAAATAAAGTTTTGGAGCCCCAAATTAACTAATAAAAGTATTTAATTTTGTTGCATTTGATATATTAATGTGAAACAGGGGAGACAAATAAAAAGTTTTGTACGGTATTGGTGAACGAGAGCCTTTGTGGCACTACCATTGCCTACGTCTTTACAACTGCTTCCAGTGTCAGGTTTGTGTCCTTGTCTCTTCTTTAATTAATAATTACTAATTATTATTTTTGAAAGTCACTTGAAAAGACCGTAAAAATTATGAAATTATAAATGAGATTTTTTGTTAAAAATTTGTTGTTATTTGCTTTTCAATTGTTGTCAAAATTCATACAAATTTTGTAAAGAATCCTGATTTGCAATTTTATAATTTTTACAGTCTTTTTTTTTTTCCGATTTTGTCATCATACTTGTTTACGGTGCAAGTTTTCATGATTGTCCTTTCAATGAAGAAGATTCATAAAGTCAGAGTATGCGTGATTTGATTATGAATCTATAACCCTTAATACTCCAAAATAGAATAAAAGTGGGATGCATTTTCTTCCCTCTTAAAATTAAAATTGACTAGTTGACAAAGATATGGGGTGAAATTATTGGGCTTTTGTCTCTTGGGTTGAATAGAACGCAAGAGGTGGGCACTTGAATAAAATTATAAATAAATTTTAAACTTATTTTTTCTTTACAATGTTTGAATATATATATATAAAGACCCAATTTAATTTTAAATTATTTTTATCTAAATTATAAATTAATTTTTTTAAAAATAATATATAATTTGGTTAGTTGATTTTTTTTTTAAAAAAGACTAAATTATATGCTAGCCTTTTGTTTAAAAGAAAACTCATGTACATTTTAAAAATAAAAATGGATAATTCTATCGAATTTAAATGAGGTACTTGCACAATTTGTAGTTCACTTTAAGTGGTTTTTGAAATTTAGTACTCTATTAAAAAAAAATACGAACACCAATTGATTATGATAATATTTGGGAATATTTTAGAAATTCTTGACATCTATTAGATAGTACTACCTCCGGTTCTAATTATAAGAGCCAGTTGACTAATTTGAGAAGATTAAAAAAGTAAGTTGAGTTAGTTATTTGTCCTAAATATGTGTTTTTTTCCTAAAATATCTTTACTAATCAAATATATTGACTAGAACTATCATTGTTAAAAAGGCTACTTTGAAAAAATATATATAAATATTAGAGACAAAGTAGATTGGGGTCTTATATTTAGGATCAAAATAAAAATCAAATAAGACCTTAAGAACCGAAGATAATAGTATATATGACTGATAAAGAAACGCGGCACGCCCATGTGAGCCTTCGTCCTAGTGAGATTTTGTTTTCTTACAAAAAAAATAAATTTTATAATTTCACCCAAAAAAATTCAAAAAATATATAAAAATAAGTATTCAATTATTCTAATGATTATTTTTCATAAATTATTTTTTCATAGATTCTTAGCATATTATATAAAGAAATGAGTAACCGTTTAAATTTTTGTACTTAACTATACAAAAAGGATGCAAAAATATGTTTAAAAGAATATCAAATAATCAGGATAGTGTTACAAAAATTGATTTCCAATGTTTTTAAAGAAATAATTTATATGAATATTTAATAACAACATCATAATATTCAATTCCTTACCCAAAAAAATCATAATATTCATATTAATTTTTTTAATGTGTATAAATTTTTTTTAAAAGAATACCAACAATAAAAAGTTTTCAATAGGGAAAAAAATTACAAAATAATAAAACAAATTATTTGACAGTTCATTGGGTGCACATGAACATACCCTTGCCGGCGAAACAAGTCACATGAGAATAGCATAATAAAAGTAGAAACATGTTCCCCCAGGGCCCGCTGGGCCCGCCGTGGAGAGAGAACATATTTTGATGAAAGGGAAGAGGGAAAAAAAATTTGGTTGCGTGTTACTTTAGTATGCACAGGAAAGGAAAATATTGAATTAAATAAATAAATAAATAAAATACAAAATTCCCAAATTATCCTCACACATTGGGAAGGATGTGGGGTATGGAGGATAGATGAGACCTTACCGACATGAGAAAACACCTTTTTACGTAGGAAAATAACTCTTCCTTGAGAAGTCAATGTTGCCTGCCCAACATGCCACACTAAGCAAAATTGACTATTTTGTTTTTCTATCCACAAATTTTCCTTATAACAACATATACCTAAGTTTCCCTTAGCTTTATAGGGGATTAGGTAAGGATTTGAAACCAAATCACTCCACTTATTTCAAACCAAAAATAAAAAAAAATAAAAATCAATTATTATGAATAAATGTTTTGTCTCCCTGCGAGACATTGGCCGCAGTAAAAAGAGCTTTAATTTGACAGCTTAAACATGAGATATTGAATTTGAGGTTATGTGAATGTAGAAAACGTCTTCAGAAATAAAACTATCTTCAATTGAATTCAGTAATACTTAAATCTGACCTGTCCTAATTAGATAGCCATATAAAAAATAAACTTTCTTCTTCTGGGTTTTGTGGTCATCAAGTGAATCAAATTTATAGCCAGATTATTTGGTTTTTTTCCCGCAATGTTCTTATTGGACTACGGTTGTTTTTTATTTTTTGGGGTAAATATTGGCTGGTTTAATTTATTATGGGAATTGTGAGGAAAATTTCAAAGAGGAGAGGTGTTAGCTGAATTTATGTACGAGCATTGCTTAGTCTGCATCTGTTGCGGCTCCTGACAAGTAAAGGTTACCCTCCCCAATGCATCATAACTTGTAAGTTTTAAATGCTGCAAATATCAAACACTGAGCAGCATTAAAATTCAATTTCACCTGAGAGATTTCTCTATCTTTCAAAATTCAACTTTGCTTCTTTTGATCTCAGTTCCTTGCAAAAGTTGAATATCTCATTGTGCCTTGAAAAGCTCAGTTATCATAAACAGCCTCTTTTTCTACCACATGCTCATTTACACTGCCCCCCCCCCCTCTTCTCTATAGCTGCCATTTGTCCTCCCCTCTTTGAATGTGACTGTTCCAAATATTTGTCTGATCCATTTTTGTCCTAGGATAGATTTTCTCTCTCCTTCTTCCTTTCTTGAATCTTCTTTCTCACCTAAAGAGAATTAAGAAAAAAGAAAAAATCTCCAACCAAGAGATGAGACCTCTATTCCATTTATGGCACATAGCGGCCTGGAATTAAAACAAGCCAAGTGTCTGAGTCTCCCGTACATAACGGACAACATTATAAATGAATTCAAGGAGCATTATCAGAAGCAATAGTTAATCTTCTTTAGGTGCAGTTACCTCAGGCCTTTATATGAACCTCACATACTGTAACTATCTTCTTCTTCATTGTCTTCCACTCAGTTCTACACAGACATGGCAGTCCAAAACTCCCTCCAAATAACTTCTTCTTCTTCTAGTGCTAATGATGACGATGGACGTTCCAAGAGAACTGGTATAAACATCTCAACCTACCAGTTACCTTACAAAAACAATTCATGTTTCTTTGTACTTTTTGAATTTCATTCATTTCTTTCATTAATCTGTTCTTGTCAGGAACTGCATGGAGTGCTGTGTCTCATATCATTACTGCTATTATTGGTTCTGGTGTTCTGTCTCTGGCTTGGAGTGTTTCTCGGTTGGGTTGGATTGCAGGGCCTGTTTTTCCTGCTTTTCTGTGCCATTGTCACCTATTTTTGTTCCATCCTCCTTTCTGATTGTTACAGAACTCTAGATCCTGTTTCTGGCAAGAGAAACTACTCTTATAGGGATGCTGTTAGGACCTACCTTGGTAGTAACTCTCCTTGCTTTTTTTAATCAAAATATTTATTTCGTAGACTTGGTTTGTAGATGAACAAAAATTGAAGAAGGCATTGAACCAACAATGGTATGATATTGTTGGTTATGTCTTTTAATCAGTGTAATTTTTTAGACCGATTTTCCTAAACTATAATAACAAAACTCCAACTAAACTATTTAACAATAGATGAAGTTCTGAAAAAACTTAGAGAAGTTATATCACTTGAACAAAACCCATGAACCAAATCTACTGAAACATCAGCATAATAAGCACTCCATTTTGCATAGGGTGTACAGTGAGTTTGTACTGTTCATGACTCATGAATGAAGCAGTTTCTTATACGTTTTATATGATATATTGATAGGTTTAGCTTAGTTATGATGCAAAACCAAATGAAAATAAATACGTGAACACTGCTAAGAATCATGGAGGAATGCCATTTGGGGTGGGGAGGAACATAATAAGTTATGAAACAGCAGGATAAGACCATCTTGTTCTTAGCAAAAGAGGACTTTCCGATCACGCAAGATTCAGCATGATTTAGTGGAACTTGCGTTCATGTCATGATTTGAACAAGTCTAAATATTTTGTGTAGGTTAATTTCTGGCTTTGCTTTGTTGTGGAACTGAGGGTATGCTTCTTCTTGGCAATCCCTATGTTTTTATACTTTCTGATGAGTTTAGTGTTAGTTCAGGACCAAAACGTACATGGTTGGCTGGTTTCTGTCAATATTTGAACTTGTGTGGGACTAGTATCGCTTACGTTATTACCACAGCAACCAGTCTGAGGTACATTCCTCTGCTGGAAAACAAAACTACCCCATTGCTATGCTATTTGCAATGTTTTGCAAATGACAAGTGATTAATTATTTTCATTGCTTGCTGTGCTATTTATAGACAATTTAACTTTGAACCTTATTCAGAGATGTTCATGTTCAAGTTCATTGCAATAATGCAGGGCAATTCTGAAGTCAAACTGTTATCACAAGTATGGACACCACGCTCGTTGTCACTATGGGGAAACCTTGTTCATGGTGCTGTTTGGAGTTGTACAGTTCTTTATGTCATTCATACCAGATCTCCATAATATGGCATGGGTTTCAATTGTTGCTGCAATTATGTCATTTTCATATTCTTTTATTGGACTAGGACTTGGAATTGCAAAAGTTATTGGTAAGATTCTTCTTTCCTTCCTTGTTCAGTCCGTTTAAGAATCAAAATTCTGCTCACCTGTCAATTTCAAGCTTATGATCAATCAATACATCGGTGTATCTGTAGTACTCTATAACAATTCACACTTCTTAAAAACCATGAACGGTATGGCTTTTTACTCTGTTGTAATGCACAGGAAAACGTGTTTAGTTAGAGAAAAGAACCACAAAGCTGACCTTTTATAGTTCTAGTTGCTTCAGAATCATGTCATAATGCGTTTATACTGCAATACTATCGGCCAAAAATGGGTTAAATTTTTTATTTAAAGCCGATTTCTAGCTTATCTATAGTGATTATATGCAGCATAACAGTGTTATCACACTAAATTATGTTGTTGACTTGGACATATTAAGGAGAATAATGATTGATAAGAGTGTTGTTTTCACCTGCAATTGCAGAAAATGGGACAATTAAGGGAAGCATAACAGGAGTACCAACTAGTAATGCTGTTGAAAAGCTATGGTTAGTGTTTCAAGCACTAGGTGACGTTGCCTTTGCCTATCCATACTCAGTCATTCTCCTTGAAATACAAGTAAGTTTCATATTCCGATTGGCTGGATGTAGAAAAACAACACAGTTCCAAAACTGAAGGAAAGTGTTGAATTTTGTTGAGTGAAGGATACGTTGAAGTCTCCGCCACCTGAAAACCAGACCATGAAGAAGGCCTCCATGATATCAGTCCTTGTCACTACCTTCTTTTACCTTTGTTGTGGATGCTTTGGATATGCAGCATTTGGAAGCAATACGCCCGGAAACTTATTGACAGGCTTCGGCTTCTACGAGCCTTTCTGGCTTGTTGACTTTGCTAATGCTTGCATTGTTGTTCATTTGGTGGGAGGATATCAGGTACTTGTCTCGTGAACACTTAACAGAAACTGGTGTACTTTGTAGCGTGATTTCTTTGATGAATGTCTGTTTTTTCTTTCTTTTTTTTTTTTCAGCCTGAGATTTCTCTGCAGATTTTAGTTTCTTTCTTTGTTTACTTCAAAAAGAGTTTAGCCAGAAAACAGTATTCTCCTTATTTTAAGTGTTAGAAGAACCACCTTGAACAGAAACAAGAGAACTCCGTTGAGCAAGCTCAAAGTTTAATAATCAAATCATTTTAAATTTGTACCCAGAAACGAAGTAAAAAAAAGAAGAAGAAGAAAAAACTGCTTGTTTATGGAATTCATAGCTTCTCTTCACACCCACATCATTTTCCCCCTTATCTCCTCTGATTATATTGCATGCTGTCACAAAAACTAGTAAAAGTGAAAGAAAAAAAAAAAAGACTAAAGTTACTTTTTTAAAATAATCTCTAACTCTTCATATGATCATATCTGAGGCAGATAGCACCAAACAACCACTATACATGACATATAAAAATTATAGAAAACTGAATTATTTATGAGCCATTGATAATGCTGCTTACCTTAAAGTCCTACCAAGTGCAAGCAGTACGGTCTAGTTTTTACTAATCACTGGCTGCTCTTTACACTGTCCAATAAATGATCATAAGCGATAATTATGGAGCTCCATAGAG